GGAAAGGTCACATCTTGGGATGGTAATAAGCTATGGTAGAATGGGCTGATTATTTGGGACATCAATGTCATCCAATGCCAGACCCAATTCAGTCAGTTGGTGGCAAAAATGGCTGCAAACGGTTTTGGAAAAAGTAAAGTAAAGCCGTTTGTTGTGGTACACTTCAATAAACCTCATGTTCGACAACCAACATCAAATGTGGAAGTCATTGACATAAAGCCCATTTGCAACAGTAGGAGGAAGTTGTGTAGTGACAGCATTGATCTTGATACTGAAAAGTTTGACCCTCAGGACAGCCGTGAGAGACTCCAAGTCAAACCCACACAGACTTGGAATCATCTGTTGAGTAAAAAGTTCTGAATAAAAATGAGTAGATGGACATGCAACCCATATGAGTGGAAGTCCTGCAAAATGTTGTACCTCCATGTGTTGTCGTAAGCCTTCTCAAGATCGAAGAACACAGAAACAAGATGTTCCTTCTTGAGAAAGAATTCCTTGATTGAGATCTCAAGTCAAATCAGGTGGTCCATGGTGGAGCACTGTTGACGAAACCCACACTGGGTGGATGAGAGGAGGTTGTGTGATTCAAGGAACCAAACAAGACAAGCATTAAACATCCTATCTAAGACCTTACAGAAACAGCTCGTCAAAGTGATTGGGCAATAATTAGAAGGAATCTTGGGATCCTTCCCAGGCTTAGAAAAAGGGAGGACAATATCCTGATGCCAGGCATCAGAAAAAATGTTCTCCTGCTAGATCCGGTTTAAGACAACCAGTAGAAGAGCAAGAGAGGCAGGAGAGAGATGGTGCAGCATCTCATAGTGAACGTCATTAGGTCTAACAGAAGTACTGCCAGACCGATGAAGAGCAAGTTCGAGTTCCCCTAGTATAAGGGGGTGATTATAGTCATATAGACGATCAGCCTGAAAGAAAAGAGGTGACTGCTCTACTCGAGACTTGATGGCCAAGAAGGCAGGGGAAAAACGAGAAGTGCTGGATGCATGAGAAAAGCTCTCGCTCAGACATTATCAGTGATGTTATGTACATCAGCAACTTCCTGGTCATTGGAGAGCAAGATGGAAAGTGGAAGGGAAGCATATTTCTCATTGACCTTCCGAATCTTATCCCATATGACTTTGGAACTGGTGATAGATGAGATGCTAGTTGTAAACGTAACCCAAAATTCATTTGGGTTTTGACGTCTGACCTGTCGAGCAGGGGCACAGGCCTGCTAAAAAGCAATGCAGTAGGAAAGTGTGGGGTACCTGCAAAAGGTATCCCAGGCCTGTTTCTAAGCCTTCCATGCCTGCTGGCAGGCTGGAGACCACCATGGACAAGGATACCGTGCGAAACATGTCGAGATTTTAGGTATAGAACGAACAGCTGCTTGAATGATGCAATCAATTACTGCCTCCATGTAGTCGTTAATAGATGGAAGACTAATGACAGCAGGATCGAGTTCTGAGAGAGAGGTGAAAAAGAGCCAGTTGGCCTAGTCCAACTTCCACCATGACACTCGACTCAGGTGACATTGACCACAGCCAATCTCCCTCAAAACAATAGGAAAATGATCACTACCTTGTGGGTCACTGTCAACCTTCCAAGATAAACAAGAGAAAAGTGCAGGGGAACAGATAGACCAATAGCAGTAAAAGACTGACTTGGTGAATGAAAACAGGTAAAGAAACCAGTATTGAAGAGAGAACGGTTGTGATCCAAGAGCATACGCTCTAAGAAATGACCCCTCCCACCAATATCAGCACCACCCCATAGGGGATTGTGTTCATTAAAGACTCATTGATCATAAGCCAAAATACAGATAGAGAGAAAAGACAGTGATGGTACGACCCAAGGAAACATGGATGTCTACAGCCTCCAAGGGTGTATCAAGTGGCACAAACAAAGTGGGCACATGCTTGTCGACCAGTTGTGCCACCCCTCCATGCACTCATCCATCACACTACCTGCCATTCTGGTATAAAGAAAACTGTTGAAAGATGACTATATTGTCAGGTTTCAGGAATGTTTCTTTTAAGGAAAGACACATGGGATGAAAGGAATTGATCAAGGCCTTAATGTCATCCATATTAGAACAGAAACCTTGACAATTCCACTGTATCAAAGTGGCCATTTTTATTTAGGTGGAGGAGAACTGGACGAAGAACCCTTCTGTTTATAATCACACCATTTTTCTTTACTAGAAGGAGGTCTGTCAACCTCCATGGATCCTGCCCTGGATCGAGTGGGCAGGTCTCTGTCAGAAGATGTAGATTCCAGCAACTGAGGGTGCGAATGAATAATCGTTCCACATATCAAGACCAAGGAAGATGGACCCAGGAAGACAACGGAAGCCGAGGCTAAGGGAGGTAGACCCAGGCACTCACTAGAAGGAATGATGGGGCAGAAATAGGAGTAGATGTAGACTTGTCAACTCTTTTATCCATAGAGGGCAAAAGACTCTTCACATGAAGTGAAAAAGACTCTGAGGGAGGAAGGAATGCTCTGTCTGCACATCCACTGTAGCAGTGGAATGGAGTGCAGCAGCACATGTTCGTGATGGATCAAGGACAACAGCTTTCAAGCCTCCGGATAAGAAATGTTGTTAACCGTTTTAAATGCTATACCTCTTTCTCCTTCATCCACTTAGATCAAGATCTATAGTAAGAGGGTCGGAACCACTACAATTAATGCAGTGAAGATCCAGTTGAAACCCGTAGATGGCATGGTCTTTGTCACCACAATGAGCACATGTCAAAGAACCACGCCAAGATGTCTTTAAATGTCTGAACCGCTGACACTGGAAACACCGAAGAGGGTCAGGAAAATAAAGAGTACCTTACAGTTCAGATAACCTGCCATGACAGTGCAAGTGGATGTGGTGATGTAAACATCAGAATAAGAACAATAGTCTGCAGCATAATTCCATCCTTGCAAGTGGAGATGGGTCACACAGCAGAAACACCTTTGCTGGAGAAACCAGCGAGGATCTCTGACTCGGGGATGTTCTTTAAATCCCTCTCTAAAATAACTCCTTGTGAGGAGTTCAAAGTAGCATGGGAAGTAACTTCAATGGGTATATCCCCAATGGCCTTCGATTTCAAGAGGAGTTCGCTGTGTTTTGGGGTAGATGTTTTCACCAAGATGTCCCCAGAATGTAGCTTCTTGACTGAGAACCAGCAAGCCCATCTAATCCCTTCGGAATAAAGGGAGACACTTGTCCTAAAGGCTTGTCTGACAAGGAATGGATGATCAAAAATGAATTTCATGTTCAGAATTGGTCGTTTACCAATTTGCTGTTTTTTTACAATATGGTTTTGATGATTTGGGGTATCCATAATTAAAGGAGAATGATTCAGTGCTCATTGACCCCACCAATCATGGAGTCCTATGAGGGGACGCACTACAATGCCAAACAAGGACACTGCAGCAATGTCAGGGTTTCAGGAGTATTATACCCAAACACCAGCATCAGACACAATGTCCACAACACCCGCTGAGAACACCCAACACTAGAACTCAGTTAACCCTAACCAAACAGGACCAGCCAATTGACCTTGGGGTGCCACCCCAAGGCCAAAGTGGTGTGTTGCAGTGTCCTAGGCACCAATCAACCACCAGGATCCTCTCCTCCCCTTCACGAGTCCTCAAGCACTGCAAACACATAAGTGGATGTTCAGATCCCAAAAGGGGTAAACTGAAAATATAGAACCTTACCCTGGGAGGTCCCCTCACCACAGACAGAAATTCACCTCAAGGGGTGAGACTATTAAACCCAGTGACTAGTAATCAGTAGCAATCATTTTGCCCAATAACAAGGAATATTCAATGCATGAGGACAGTTGATGTTCCATATTTTAACTTTAACCTCCATTTCTATCATTGAAAGCTGTTGAAAACTTTGGCTTTTCTTTCTGCTTCTCCTTTTCTTTCAGTTCTCTTAGCCTATTCTTTTATTCGTAATCACAATAATCCACAGGGTGTTTCTTGTTAATATGATAAATAAGGTTGATAGTATTAAAACTTTTAGCAGAACCCACCACGAGATACAGGATCTTTACAAATATTATAAACACTAAACTAACCACTGTCTTCACAAACAGTAAAATAATTTATAATACCATTACTCATGACATTTTTATAAAACAAAAGAACAAAATAATGATGCCACACAAAAGTAAGTTCACATGCGCAAATTGGTACAGAACACAGTTTCTTTACTGATTTTTGATATTACCAATAAGCCAATATTAGTACACCTTTATCAAACATTACTAATAACAGGTGTCACTAAATGTAATGAGACATGTGTTCAGTCCACTGTGTAGAAAGCATTGGATAATGAATGTTCACATTACTGTGAAATGGTGTAACTATTTATAAAGTTAATTACTTAGTAATATGTACAATAAAAGTGTTTAACATAATGAACTTTTTTATTATAAAATCACTGCAGTAAGCTCTGCTCATTAATTTTGCAAAATGATTAACTTATATTACACTTAAAACAAATAAACTCAAAAGAATTGTAGGAAAACTGCTTTAAGTTTTGTAAAAGTACCAAAATACATTATTGTGATCTTAAAATAATCTAGAGAAATGTGGTAACAATATCCTCATAAACTTGATGATCATCCATGACACACTTTATGGATTAAGTATTAACTGTGCTTAGAGTAAGGTTGTGATCGTGTTTCAGTCATCCATTATTATGATCACCTAAGTCTAATTAGTAATTAACTAGGTAATTATATAGTTTAACAGCCATGACAACTAAGCATTAAACATGTTTGTCAATAAAAAAATTATTAACATGCTACTGGTAATAATTTAATAAAAAAAACTGATTTCTGAGGTATTAATGAGAGAGAGAGAAAACAACCAAAAAAAGAAAAAGGATAAAGCACATATGAATATAACAATTCCAATCTATGTACAATTAGCTAAACTTTTCAGTGTTAATTAAAGTACATCGATGATTAACTCGTTGAATGTTCTCTTACCATTAAGCAACAAACAAAGATGCTTATTATGCTTTATGTTTTTTTCACGCCTTTCTGGAATGTTGTGCATCTGATGAGTTATCATAACTACTTGATTTGGAGTCAACTCATCCGAATGGTTTTCATCATCTAAATTCAAGTCCACCAGAAGAACCTGGCCACCTGATGTTCCAACAGCAACCAAGCCAAACATGCAACGAAGTTCCTGATAAATTGGGCGGGTTTCCATACAAGCTCCACCCTTGCTGCTAATGACTGCCAATGAAGTGATCTTAAAATTTAGATAAAAGATATAAATGTTAAAATGTGATGATGATAATTTTCAAATTATCTTCATAAAAATACTTCTGCAATGTTTGTATATTTCTTTTTTTAAGAAACAAGCCTGCCTTGTTTGAAAACAACTTAACATGTTAGTGGCATTGTAATGAATAATACTATAAGGAGTTGTAAAGGTATAATTATTAATCTATATATATATTTTCAATATTATGGTTGTTATTACTCAAATTGTTGAGTCATCTGTCAATCCCAAAATAAACCAGATAAAAAAATCTTATGATTTTTCTAGCTTTGTGAATATATGGTAAGTTATTTTTACAGTATATATATTTCCTTACCACATAATTAAATTTCAGATCTGTCACAAACCAGGCAAGTGAGCTACCAACTGAGCTAAAGGCTTAACATGCTGAAATCTCTCAAAAACAAAGTCCACCCTAGGGCTTAATTTCAGGTCGTCAAATGGCCACTAGTTGGGGGCCAATGTGGTAATTTATTTTTACAATATATATTTCCTTCCATCAAATTTCAACCTAAGACCTGTCACATGCTAAATGAGTGCTTTACCATGTTATATTATTTTGAGCCTTTTTATTCAAAACTCATAAAAAAGGATTAAACTATATTAAGATATAAAAAACTCAAGTTTATTTGGCATTATTATCTACTAGTATAGAAATCAACAACTCCCAATGTCGTAGGGAGTCATAGAATTTAACTTAATGTGTCTAGTTTTGAAAAACAAAAAGCTTTCTTTCATTCTATGTTTGTTAAGACCATTTTATTGTCAATTCTAGAAATATGTGAAACATAGGCATTATTTTCAAATTAAGATTAGGACATTAACTATAGTTGGCTCTCATAAGAGTTAAAAGAAAAAGACTGTGATTCAAAAACTCACTTTGGCATTAACCTCCACAGCTTTCACAACTTTTGAAGTCTTGATGTCAAAAAGACAGAGAAGGTTGCCTGAGGAAGCATACTCCACACCTACTAGAAGCCTAGGTGTAGAATTTTCAGAGCTTGGAAGTTCTGTCACAGCAGAAATTACAACAGATGTATCTTTCAAAATTGCTCCAAAACACCATGAACTATGTCGTTCACACTGACTTGTAGAAAATACTTCCAAGAGTGGTCCTCTAGTCTCCCAAATCCATGCCCCATCTATCAGTTTGACAGTAAATGTTACAAAACTACTCTATGAATCCATACAAAATCTAGAGAAAAATTTCAACAAATGAGAAATAAATTCCAATCTTGGTCGTCAGAGTATAATCATCTCTCGATCATGATTAAAATTTCACACTTATTTTTATATGTAGTAGGTTAATAATTAATGATTTAATCTAAAATTATGAACTTTAATTCTGTTATGTACTGATCTCATTACCTTAGTACCATTTGGATTTTTAATAAACAAATTAATACAATACTCGTATAGATTTCACATTTGAAGTTACTAAAACACTTAATATTTATTGTAGCATTATAACTTACCCCTAAACTTTAAAGTAGTCTAAGCACAGCTATAAAATATGGAAACAAGCTAATTTAATTTAATGAATTAATAAATACAACACTTTTACAACATAATCATAAAATAGTCAATAATGTGAAGCAGATCTTGCACATCTGTGACAAAGATGAAATATCTTGTATGAATATATTGTCAATGCAAAGTAGCCATTGAGTTTAAGTATCATATGTTTATATTTCTATTCGTTATTAAAAAAAAATATTTTACTTAACTCCTTGAGCAATTAGTCAAACTTACTAGTTGATTAATCATCAGGCTTATTAATCAATTATATTCAACTAATTGATTATTCTCATATGAGATGAAGCTTCCTTTCAGATTATTTTCTTTTTAAAGACTTTACCAGCTACTCTTCATTCAATATCTTAGGATTAAGTTAAGTTTTTTAATCCTAAACTTTTGTGCATTAAAAGATTTCATACATGCAATGTAGTAAAAAACCTGTAACAAGTTGAAAATAAAATGAATAGCATTCTACTGGTTTCTCCATACAAATTTCCACCAGACTGTTCTACTAAAACTACTAAATTTTTGTTGATGAAAATAAACATTACTTTGTGAGATTTTCAAAAACATTTTATATAAAATGAATGAACTTCATTACCTAAAAAAACAGCTTACAAATAAGATTTAAAACAAACAATTAGTTTTGGCCATACACCTACATTAGGTGTCAGTTAATTGAATGTATTTCATTGCTAGAAATAAAATTATTTTTCAAAACACATTCAAGAATTAAGAAGATTTGACTAATATAAAAATAACAGAATTTTCCAGATGGAGTACTTTTTTTCAACATTTTTCAAACATATCAAAAAAAAATTATTAATTGCCAGAAAGATTTGACTATTAACTCTCTATATAAGAACTCATCAGCTTCTAACCACCATGGAACTATACATGCTTTAACTCTTAACTTATGGAGTGCGTATTTAAGAAATTTGACAAGCTTTCAGTAAACATTGCAAGAATGCTGTACAACCAAAATCAAAATTTTTAATAAAGTATTACTGCTAAAGATTCACCTGTGAATTTACTGAGTCACTCAGACTTTAGACTCTTAACTAACCTGAATGTAAGGCAATTTTCAGGTTAAAAGTAAAATTACTTTTTTCCATCTTACAGTTTTGAAGTCTCAATTACTTAAACCTCTAGAACATCCTAAGTCAAATTTTTTTTTCAGTAGAACTTTATATTTCATGTTATTTTCTCTACCTTAACACTAACTGTATATGGCTTTGATCAACCTTGTAATCACCAAGTAAATAAAAAATAAATCTAAATTACCCCTTTTCTTTCTCGAATGACTGCATGTTGTAACAGACAATTACATACTATCATTAAGTACAGTAGTACTTACTAGTAGGGATCATGATGAAAAAAATGGTGGCCATAAAAATCACCCATTTAAAACCACCTTTAAAATGTCTGAATATTAACAATGACTATTTTACAACACTGGCTGAGCAAAATTAAATCTTACTATACTTATAAAATCACCTAAATCACTATATACACGTTTATGGAGTGAATCAAAATTTCGCTATTTCAAAAATTTTCATCTAAATAAGTAAGTGACATTTGCAGACAAGTGTACAGAAAAAAATTATGAACCTTATCACTAATTCTTTCAAGAACTCTTCCATCTAGGGTCCTGATGATTCCTCTCTTGTACCAAAAAGAATGCGAGTATATACATAAATAGTGAATGACGCTCTTCTTTGGGCATATAGCTAGATTTGAGGGTAGCTTGGTAGAGATCTTGATGAGTAATAAAATCGAATTGGGTCTAGAATAATGATTTTTTTAAATTTTATAAAGAAAAGTAGGGATCAATATATAAATATATATATATATATATATA